TGTTGGGTAGCTGATCCTTGGTTGTAATCCAAGCTCCTTTGCTTTACTGAATATCATATTCCATGCCCTCTGATCTTTTAATGTAGAAGCTGCTAGGTCCTGCATAATCCTGACTGTGGTTCCATGATATTTGAATTGTTTCTTTCTGGCTGCTTGCTGTATTTTCTCCTTGACCTGATAATGCTGGCTACAATATTCCCTAGAGTTTTCAATTTGAGATCGCTTTCAGGAGGTTTTTCAGTGGATTCTTTTGATGACTATTTTACCCTCTTATTTTAGGACCTCAGGGCAGTTTTCCTTGATGATTTCTTGAAAGATGCTATCCAGGCTCTTTTTTTGATCATGGCTTTCAGGTAAACCAATAATTTTTAAAGTATCTCTCCTGGATCTGTTTTCCAGGTCAGTTGTTTTTCCAATGATTTTACATTTTTGTCTATTTTTTTCATTCTTTTGACTTGGTTTGATTCTTGAAGTCTCACTTGAGGCTTTTTTACCTCCTTTTCCATTCAGCCAATTCTAATTTTTAAGGAGTTGTTTTCTTCAATGGATTTTTTTTCCCATTTTGTCAACTGTATTTTTAAAGGAATTGTTTTTTTCTTCTGCCTTTTTTGACTTTTAAAATCCTTCCTGAGCTCTTCCAAGAAGGCTTTTTGGGCTTGAGACCAGTTCATATTCCCTTCTGAGGTTTTGGTGGCGGGTATATTAATAATGTTATCCTCTTCTAAATTTGTGTTTGGATCTCCCCTGTCCCCACAGAAAGACTCTACAGTCAGTCTCCATTTCTGCTTTTTGCTCATGATTGCCTATTTCCTGACTTTTAAAGTTGAGCTCTCTTGCTGAAGCACAGAGGGCACTGTCCCAAGCTTCTTGTGCTGGGGGCCACAGTCGGCAGCTTTATATGCTGTGGCCTCAGGTGCTGGCAGCTAGAGGCTGTAGGGGTCTGGTAGCTTACCCAGTGCTAAACTGAAGCTGGTGGTGGTGGCTGGTGTGTCCCTTGGTGTTGGGTGCTTGACTGCTGCACCCTGGGGCTCAGGATCTCCCACTGGTTTACTGAGGTGGAGTTTGTCTCTGGCTTGCTGGGACACCTCCAGTCTTATACTGGTCCCCTTCAGCCATAGGAAGAGAGACCTTTCCCATTAATCCACCTAGACTCCTGAGCTGAAAGACATTGCACCTTGTCTTTCTGCTGGCTCCACTATTCCAGGATTTTTTTCTGGGGCAATATTCTCTGGTTTTTTCAAGGTCAATAAGGGATAGTGAGAGTGACTTACTGCTTACTCCGACATCTTGGCTCTTGGAAGCCGAAATAGGTGACTTTCAAATGTTCCGTCTGTGGGCTGATAGCTCCAGAAGCAGCCATTGCCACTAGAGACTCAGTCATTCCCAAGGCCTGCTCCTGGTTTTCTGGGGCCAGGGCTGTATAGGCGTGGTCTGCGCCAGACTGTGTTTCTCCAGGTCCTACAGGCCCCTCCTGCTGACCTTCTTTGGTGTCTGTGGGCTAAGAAGTCTGGAAAATGCCACTGTTGCCAGTGATTCAATCCCCAAAGGCCTGCTCAGGGTTTGCTGGGACTCAGTCTGCACCAGCATGGCCTGCGCTGGACTGCATTCCTCTCTGACTTGTGCAACAAACTTTTCCTGTTGACCTTCCTAGTTGTCGTGGGCTGGAAATTTGTTTCACTCTTTTTGTGGGTTCTGCCACTCTAGAATTTGTTCAGAGCCACTTTTTAAAGGTATTTGAAGGGGTTTGGGGGAGAGCTCAGGTGAGTCCCTGTCTTCACTCTCCCATCTTGGCTCCACTCCCAACAGTCCCTGCTCTTAAGGAGCTCACAGTTTATTAGTGAAGACAACATGCAAACAACTGTGTACAAACAAAATATAGACCAGATAATTTGGAGGTTATCTCAAGAGGGAAGGCACTAACATAAAGGGAGACTGGAAAAGGCTTCTTGCAGAAAATAAAGTTTTAATTGGGACTTGAGGCAACACAGGGAAATCAGAAAATGGAAATGAAGAGGGAGAGAATTGAGGGAACAGCAAACAGGCCACTGTCACTGGATCAACAAGTACTTGGAGGAGAGGGAGTAAGATGCAAGAAGACTGGAAAGGGGCTAAATTACAAAGGGCTTTAAAAGCCAAAGAGAGGATTTTCTATTCCATCCTGGAGGTGAAGAGACCAACTGGAGTTTACTGAATGGCAGAGGGAACGGCAAGGTTATATATGCACTTTAGGAAGATCACCTTGACAGCCGAGTGGAGGATGGAATGGAGTGGGGAGAGACCTGAGGCTAGGAGACCAACCAGAAGACTCCTGCAATCATCTAGGCAGGAGGTGGTATAGATGTGCACCAGGCCCATAGCAGCATTACAAGAGAAAAAGGGACTAATACTGGAAGATGTTATGAAGATAGAACTGATAGGATTTGGCAAGAGACTGGACATGAGGCAGAGGTGAAGGTAAGAAGTCAAGGATGGCACCAAGTTTGAGAACCTGGATGAAACTGGTGCCTTTGTCAGTAATAGGGAAGTTAGAAAGATAGAAGCATTCGAAGGGAAAGTTCTGTTTCTAGAAAAAAAGTTTAAGTATACCTTGCTGTTGTTCAGTAGTGTAGGACTCCTTGTGACCTGATTTAGGGTTTTCATGGCAAAGATACTAGAGCGATTTGCCATTTCCTTCTCCCGCTCATTTTAGAGATGAGAAAACTGAAGCAAATAGGGTTAAGTGACTGCTCCAAGGTCACACATTTATAGTAAACGCCTGAGGACAGATTTTAACTCAGATCTTCCTGACTCTAGGCCTGGCACTGTATCAACTTTGCCCACCCAACTGCCCACTTAAATAAACTAATATTTGTTAAATTGGAGGAGAGGGCATCCAAACATATGGGACATGGAATCAAGGAAAGGTAATTAAAAATGAATATACAAGAATAATACAAGACTGCAGGAATATTTTTATTAGCACTAAATCTCTAAATGAGCTGAGGCTGGTGATGAATATTAAATTCAACAAAATTTTAATATTTTAGCTATATTATCAACAAAAAAGATAAAAAAGATTGTCTAGAATGGATAGAATATACAAATGAGAAAAATGAGAAGAGATAATTCTTATAGAAAAGATAAAGCAAAAATTGCTTGTAAGGGAGCTTGTATGTGACTCATAAGTGAGCTTAGCACAGAGGCAACATTTGATAATGTTCCAATGTAAAGGGAACACTTAAAAAGGAAGAGATAAGATATTAGATAATGACCAGTGGGAATAGAATGATGTATGGTTCTTGCTGAGCCTGTAACTCTTCTATGAAAATTAATCCCCAAGAACTTCTAAAATAATATAGTTTATTTTGTACTAAGAGGCAATGTGGCATAATGGATAGAGAGCTGGCCTTCCGAATCACAGAAGACTAGTATCAGAGTCCCTTCTCTGATACATATATACTGGCTGCCTGACCACAAGCAAGTCATTTACAAACTCAGTGCTGCAAGAAACACTCTAAGACTAAGTTTTAGACAAGCCTCTGTGTATATGAGTGGAGGGTTAGTTGTTTAAATCATTGTTTAAACCACTAGTAAACCATTAGCTGTATAAAAATTGTCATGTCAAAGTCAAATAGAAATGGATTCCTACAGCTGCACGACTCAGAAAACCAAAAATTAACATTATTTATATTGTAATATGGGGCAACTAGATACTGCAGTGGATAGAACACCCTCCCTGGAATCAGGAAAACCTGATTTCAAATATGGCCTTAGACACTTACTAGCTGTGTGACCCTGGACCAGTCACTTAACTCTGTTTCCCTCAGTTCCTCATTTCTAAAATAAGCTGGAGAAAGAAATGACAAATCACTCCAGTATCTTTGCCAAAAAACTCCAAATGGGGTCACAGAGTCCAACACAATTAAGCAACAACAAAATGTTGTAGTACATATTGCTGTTAGCCTAGCCCAAACACTGCTTATACTTACCTGTATATGAGCTCCAATTGGGAGTGATTTCAACTTCAAAAAGAAAATTCCTATGATTCTGGTGACTTCCTAATAAGCCACCAGATTCACTGGTAAATTTTCCAGTAAGAAGACTGATGGAGAGATGGACAGATAGATAGAACAACAGATGAGCATTTATCAAGTGCTTCATATGTGCCAGGTACTATACTAAGCCCTGAAGACAGAAATTATAAGCAAGACAACCACTGGCCTCAAACACCTTTACAATGCAGTGAGGAAAGCAAAACATAAAGGAATGCAAAGGCCCAGGGTCGTCTGGAAAGGCAGAAGGTATTCTCACAGGAGCACGGTGAAAAGACTACAAGGCAGGGTCATGGAGGCCTTGGCTAGATAAGGTTCACCTATCAGAGCCAGATTCACCAAAATCTCCTGATGGCTTAGTGCAGTGATCATAGCAGATATCTGAAACCAGACTTCTAGGAAACTGGGACAATGTCACCAAAAGGGGCAAAGGCCCAGGCCACCACCTCCACATCCTCCGGACTACACATCTGAGTCTCCTCCTCTATTTGATTTGGCCTTGTCTAGCCAGGGCCAAGGTCTCCATGGCACTCCCAGAACCTCTTTACCATGCCCTATGAAGACACCTTCTCCCTTTCCAGACACTTCCCACCCCCTAGCATTCCTTCATGTTTTTCTTCCCCCATTATAAAGTAAGCTCCCTATGGCCAAAACTGTCTAGTTTGCTTGTATTTCTATCCTCAGGAATCAGCACAGGGGAAGCACTTGTTAACCTTCATCTTCTGACCTATGTTTTTCAATCTCTCTATCCATGGAAATCTTACCAGGTTATATTTTACAAAAGGTCACTAGCTTTTCTCAGATTGGGATATGCATGGCAAGAGAATAGGAGATTGGATGAATTCTTTAATCTACCTTATAATTCAAGAATTATTCCAAGTGGAGTTACTAAAACACATAGGCCACACATTCAACCTTGAATGATGGAAGCAATATGTTCTGCAATGAGAGGCTCAGGCGTTACTTTACCTTAAATCTCTGAGGCTGGTGAAACTGGATGGTTGCCCTTTTCTGATCAAAATCTTTTCTCAGTTGGAGGTAGCGTACTTTGCTACCCTTATTTAACACTTTCTTCTGCCCATTCACACACCGGCACACATTTATATCTCTTCCATAGTACATCCCCAGTCTGCACAGATTCTTCAAATCTGTTAACTGGAAAAGGGACTGAAAGTAAGCAGCCAGTGAAGGATCATCTCTCTGAATTAGAAGGGGCTTCTGCTCCCAGTATTCCTTGAAAAAAGTCTCTGTCTTGATGGGTGAGATTAAGCTCTCAAAGAGAGCATCAGGGCTGTCAAAGTTCAAAGGTAAAGCAGGATCAACTGCTTCCACTTTTACTCGCTTACAAGGACTGGGCCCTCCTTCCATGGCCACATCTGCATTTGTCCCATTCCTAAACATGGTCCTGTTTCAGAAATAAAAAGCCAAGCCATGAATCAAGCAATATTCAATTCAATAAAGTGTCATTTATGAAGTATTTTGTCTATATCTTAGGGACACAAAACCAATATCAAAACAGTTTTTGCTCTCAAGGAGATGAGGAAAAGCTTTCATTTTATTTTTCTATGCCTGTCCTGCCCTCCCAATTCCCAAAAATCCATATATAATCATTTACACTACATGCCAAGCAGATTTGTTTTTAAACAGGACAGCACAGTACTCTCAACCCTAGGAAACAAAACTATATTCTTTAAAAAATCCATTTTAATCTAATGTCAAATAGTCCATAAATCAAGCTGAATACCCTTCTTCCTAAGAGGTCTAATTATCTTGTTCTTGGGCCAAACTGAGTTCTTATAATTCTCATTCCCCTCCTCATGCCTAGAAAACTGTAGTGAGAAATCAGGAAGTAGGAAACAAAAACAGAAAATACAAAACATATGTGCACAAAAAACCTTTTCCCATGGGAGAAAGGGCGTTGGGCAAGTTGGGAGTAAATTTCTACAAAGATCCACTAAACATGGGTATCAATCAATTAAAAGACATTTAATAAGTACCAGGCATTTATGTGCAGGTATTCTGCTAAGCACTGAGCATATACAAAGGGAGGCAAAAAGTCCCTACCTTCAAGGAGCTCATAATCTAATGAGTATTAAGTACTGGCTCCAGTAAACTCCAGGAGATTTTACCTTGGTCTCTAAAACCTAAGCCCAGATTCCCCAGCTTAATTTAAATCAGAGTGACTCAAATTTTCTGACCCATAGAAACTAAGCCAATGGCATTCTGAGACTAAGGAATTCTCTCGTAGAGTAAACCCTACAGAACTAAAGAACTACAAATATTGGGTCAGAAACTGCCTCTTCCATCAAAGAGCTCTTCAGAAGGAGTTTGGCATAAGCATAACCCTTCAGTTAAGGTTCAACAAATTGGGGGGGGGCGGGGTGTTAGCAGAGGGGAAGGAAGGATAGATTTTAGAAATACTACAAGAGCCTGGTGACATGAGCTCAAAAGTCCAGGAACAAGTAAGGTGTGAAATTTGAGAGTCAGATTTGGAGCGAACCAGAATGGGAGCCTGGTCCTGTCTCTCCTAAGAAAGGTCAGGTAGCCAGTATCACAGCAGCTGGAAAGGTATGGAGGTATGTAGGCCAGAGTGACAAGGGATGGAAAAGAAGTGGTTGACACCCATTACCCTGGTACTCACCCAAGCTCTTAAAATAACTGTACAACTGCTACTTAACTCCTCTCAACAGCCAATGTGTGCCTCTTGAAGGAGTATCTCTTAAGGTCCTCCTTTAAGTGTTATGACAATATACATTCCTGTCACCGCTACTATGATTCCCACATTGCAATATATGGATGAAATGCATAATAATTATTCATATATCTATAGGTTTTCAAAGGGTTTACCTTACAAGAACGCCGTAAAGTGGGAAATACACCTATTATTTCCCCCATTTTACAGATGAGGAAACTAAGGTCAAGAAAAGTGATTTGCCCAAAGTCATACTACACATTACATGGAAGAACTGGGATTCAGACCAAGGCCTTCTGCCTCAAAATCTAATGTGCTTTCCACCTCACTGTTTTGTCCCAAAGAAGGCAAAAGATAAAGACAAGGGACTTGAGATAGAAGACAGTGTGACTTAAACTACTTCCCTGTAATCCTTAAAAATAAGGCAATAAACCAACACTTTTCACAACAATACTGCTGTCTATAAATGTCATCCAGGCTTTCTTTAAGGGGGCAGAATAGGTGAAGATAACTGAGAAATATGCACATTTCATTGTTTTTCTAACAGTGCAAAAATGATTTTAAAGAGTCATTTATCCTATTCTCAACCTGGTCCCTGGTTTAAGTGCATGAATTAGCAAGACAACTGGTTAGGATAAGCACTGCAGATCTTTCCACCAGGGGATCAAACCTTGGTCCTTTTCTCATTAGGGCCATCTAACTATAATTACCTCACCTCCACAGGAGCTCCCAATTACCAGGATCAAATCCTCTTCACATTCAAAAACCTTCATAACCTGGTCCCTGTCAATCTAGCTACTTTCTGTCTACCTTAACACCCTCCAAGTACTCCAGGAACTAGTGACATTGGTCTCCTTGCTGCTTCTCTCACTGGACACTCCATTTCCCAACTCCATGCATTTCCACTGGCTCACCCCCAAACCTTAAATTCTCTCTCTTCATCTCCATCTCCTAGTCTCTCTGGCTTTAGGTACCAGTTAAAATTTTCTGCAAGAACCTTTTCACAATCCCTCATAATGACAGTGCCTTCCCTCTGCTCCTGTCTAAATCTTGTTTTTACATAGTTATTTGTTTGTTGTTTCTCCCATTAAATCATGAGCTCTTTTAGATAAGCAAGTTTTGTTTTCCCCTTTCTATTTCTATTAGCATAGTGCATGGCATATGACTGTTGACTAACTGACCACTGTCTTGTGCTTTCAACACAAGAGTTACAAACTGCTTTCTCCCAATCCCACTCTTCCCAAAGTAGGTGGTTACTGGGTGAATTATTCTAGCAGGTATTCAAAAAAAGATATGACTCAAAATGCCTTCCCCATTACCTGTCTTCCTTCTCTTTTGCCCCTTCTAGTCCTGTCTTTCACCAGTTACAATCTCAGCTGATACCACTTTAAACATCCTTTTCTCAAATACTGTCCTTGTTGAGTCATTTCAGTCATGTCTGACTCAGGGACCCCATTTGGGGGTTTTCTTGGCAAGTGTACTTGAGCGGTTTGCCATTTCTTCCAGCTCATTTTTACAGATGAGCAGCTGAGGCAAACAAGGTTAAGTGTCACACAGCTACTAAAGTGGCTGAGGCCACATTTGAATTCATGAAGATGAGTCTTCCTGATTCCAAGCCCAGGGCTCTAACCACCTGTGCCACCTGGCCGCCCTTTAACTGACTTCATCCTTTCTTCTCCAACTCTTACCCAAATATATCATAGAAAATCTCTTCTCCCACTCCCCTTATTACACTTGTGATCCAGAAAAACTTAATAAGAATGAATGACACACTTGTATCAAGAAAAAAAATCCATTTGATAAATTTTACAGCTCAAAGAACTAGCGCTATCAATTTCTGAACCAACAATAAAATTTTTTTCTCAAGCACTACCATTCAGCATTAAATAAGAAACTACTGCATTTCACTCATTCTTAATTATTACTCCCCTACTAAGCACGCTATTTGGATTCCAACATGGAATGGAAGTGATTCTGGGTTCTCAAAATGATCACTGATTTCTCAGCAAAACGTGAAGTGGCGGGCTCCAGCATGCTGGAAAGATTCTAAATATGAGATTAACTGCTATGTGTTTCTCATCTGAGGTCCAACCTATGTAGATTTGGAAATAATATTGGTAAACCATTTGGCACAGTACTTACATGTACATATTAGTGAATAAATGCTTATTTCCTTCCCGTCCCCCCCATCACCAAGATGGCATAGTGAACAGATTCCTAGATTTTGAGTCAGTAAGACTTTAGATCAAACTGTGTCTCAGATACTACCTTGTAACCCTGGGCAAGTAAGCTTGTCTGAGACTCAGTTTCTTGATCTATAAAATGGGGATAGTAATAGCATTCACTTCATGGATGGACTCCAAAGTCACTTCCAGTTTGAGATTTGGGAGCCTAAGGGGTTTTTTGAGGCTCAAATGAGAAAATAAAGTGCTCTATCAGCAATTCTTGGCAACTAGGTGGCTCAGTGGATGGAGTGTTAGGCCTAGAGTTAAGAAGACTCACCTTCCTGAGTTCAAGTCTGGCCTCAGACACTTAGTAGCTGTGTGACCCTGGGCAAGTCACTTAACCCTGTTTGCTGCAATTTCCTTATCTGAAAAATGAGCTGGAGAAGGAAATGGCAAACCACTCCAGTATCTTTGCCAAGAAAACCCCAAATGGGGTCACAAAGAGTCAAACTCGACTGAAAACTGACTCAACAACAACATCAGGGGTTCTTAACTTTTTTTTTTAATCTTATGAGAATACTTTTTTTTAACATGCATTAAATAAAATTGGAGGTTCCTAATCTTATCTATCTTCTCAGAATATTATTTTTAAAACATAAAATAAAATGCATAGGATAACAAAGTAAAGAAATTACACAGAAATGCTTATTAAAACATTTTCAAAAAACAAGTTTACAGACTCCAGGTTAAGAACCTCTAGTTGGTTATAATTAGCAGCTACTAGTATCACCAGAAGACTAGACCAATAAATGATGAATTTTTTGCTATCAGTGGAACTTAGACTACTAAATGCATTTTCTCCATGCCATCTGGTGAAAGGACTGCTGATCTAATACAATCTCCTCATTTTACTGATGAGGAAACAGATCCAGAGGGATTTGGGGATATGGCCCAAGATCACAAAAGCAGTGACAGAATCTAGTCTCTTTGATTCCAAATCCAGCACTTTCCCAGGCACCTATCATATATTTTTTTTAAACAGAGAGGTTAATTACCGGTGAGAAATGAATTTGTAATTTTCATATTAATCGATATGATATGTGTAATGAATTTACTAATAATTTAATTTTCTCAAAAGCTGCCTTTTCCAGCTTGTGAGTCAGACTCGAAAAGCAGCTTGAATTGATCAATCAAACCTTGATAAGGCTCACAATCACTGGTATTCTTCGGCCTTCCTACCTGAAAGTGAATCGAATCAAAGACTGTAGAACCTGTTCCCATCACAAAACTCTGGTTCTGTACTTTAGGGGAGGTGGTTACAACCATCAAAGACTTGTTGCACTGCTGAACTTCTGGATTTGTTGTGGAAAACAACTAAAAGAGTGTAATCCACCTTTCCGCTGCACCCCCCCCCCCCCGCAACTTTTAATTGAAGTATATAACCGGTGCTGTTTACTTCAGCAAAGAGAACATTCCCCTCTCTGAAACTGATTAATTAAACTACTTGATTACTGATCTGCTTTGCCCAGCTCCAAACATTCTCAGGTTAGAGACTGGCTTAGTAAAAATCCTGTTGAGGCTGGCAGTGCAACAGTATCATTTTTCCCTTACTGCAACTATAAAGCATTTGTTGCTTTGTGAGATAAACAGACTTTGGTAGCCTGGCCTAGAAGCCTCATAACTAATTGTTTCCATGGGAAAATGTATTTCAAGTACCAACAACCAATTGACAAGCAAAAAATTTTAGAGCAAACAACCTATTTGTAAATTAGGATTTGGAGATAAATTTTAGTTAAATGAAACCAACATAGTATATCCTGGAAAGAGTTCTGGATTTGAAGACCTGGTTTTAAACATGAGTCTTTTACTTGTCTTGGGCCTAATGTTATCTCATCTACAAAATAGTGGTGGGGAGTGGGAATGGATTAGAGAGCTCAAAATCCTCTCTCAAATTTCAACCTTCTCTATCATTCAGGTAAGTGCCACAGGTTTGACTTTTGAATTTTGCTCCTGAATGACAAAAAATAACCCAGTTATCTCAAGGACTACAGTTGTGTTTGGTGGATAATAATTTTTTTTTCTAATATGCACAGCAATGCTACACTTCACAATATATAAACATCTACATGGAGGGACAGGGGTTTAAAAAAAAGTTCTGCAATCCTGATTCTGGAAATCAACACTTTTTTGAAAACACTAACTCTTTATCTGTTCAAGACTAGTGCATCTGCAATTTTCAATCATGCATCATCAGAGAATAAATGACTTTAGCAAGATCAGACCTCGTTAGTGATGGAGGAAAAGGTGCAGATGTCAGTTGAGTCAATGAAGAAGAAAGGGAGTGCTATTCCCAACTAATTCAGAATTTTAAAAAGTTCTCCCTTCTCTCTCCACACCTACACACAAGCCAACTTCTGGGGCCCAAAGCTAAAGGTTTTCTAAAAAGAAATGTTAATTTTTACACCCACACCTCTTTTATCCCTAAGAATACAGTAAATTTAAAATGTTCTTTTTCTCAAAAGGCAACATCTGCAATAACTACCAGAAATCAAGTGCTTAAAAATGTCTCAAAAAACAAACCCAAAACGAAGCCACCTTTGAAAAATTTTGCAGTCCGTCAACTATTAAAACAAACCCAAAAAAATCACAAAAACTTTCCTCAGAGTGTGTGTGTGTGTGTGTGTGTGTGTGTGTGCGCGCGCGCGCTGCCATCAGCATATTGCTTCCATATTGCTCTCGAGTGCAATCAACTGAGGCTTCAATTAGCAGTATACAATCTACTGGGCAATACAGTTTGATACAATTTTCATCTTGATGGTAGATGCCACAAAAACACAGAGCACCCTCACTGCAGTTATAGTGTTAAAAAAGAGGAAATCAGAACTCTGAAAGCTATTTTCATTAGAATGTATTTAAAAATAAAAAATATTAGGAAGATCACAATTCAACCAAAAAATTAAAAAGACCCAAAATGTAAATGCAAATGTTAAATTGTTAGACTAAACCACTGCGGAGTACAAAAAACCCTATAATGAAAATTAGTGTGTATGCCTATACTTTTGCCAGCAAATGCTAGAGATATTTACTCAGGTCCTCCCCTCTGCCATAACAAGATCAAGACAGAACTTTGAATGGACCTTTCTTACAAGTCCTAAACTGATAAGAAGTGGTGCTCTAAGCTACCTGTGTCAATCATGGGTCTAACAAACAAAGGCTACAAGCTACAGACACAGATGGGCAGGTTTTGGCAATTTACTAAAAAAGCTAGCATGCTCCCCAAGCTTTACTGGTTCAAATTTCAAACTTCAGGATCCAAAATACGTAAGCCACTTGTGCTATCTACTTTAGCATGTGTGTTGCTTTTAATACAATTTTAAGGGGGAAAAAAAACCACCAGTGGCCCTACAAGTTAACAGGGTAAGAAAACCACAAATTGTCTCATCAGGGCCTAGTCTAATGCCAGCTTTCAAAAGCAACAGGAAGAATGACCTGCTTGACCTATAAACTAGGTCTCTTCAAAATTCACTGGTTGGGTAATCTTTTCACCCCACCCAACCACAATGCTCCCATTTCAGGGAGGGCCTGGGTTCAGATTCTAACCATGTCACTTACGGAGTGACTTAGTCAAGTAATTTTTCTGGGCCTCAACTTCATTTGCACTCTGACAAGACTGGACTGAATGACCTTTGAGACCCCTTCTAGTTCTAAAAGATCCTCTACCTCAAAACAACGTGTCAGAAAGTAAGAAAAGTTTCATTTGGCAAAATGCTCAAACATCAACTACTGTTATTAAAGCATGAACGCAAGCTAACACAGAACAGGTCCTCAGCATTTATCAGAAAGGCTCACACCTTGTGGCACTAGCCCCAGGAATTTCCAATCTAATGAGATGTAAATCACCTTTCAGGGCTGGGAAACCCTTTAAGCCTGAAACACCTCAATGCTGCTTCTGACCAAAGGACGGGTACTTAGTCCTAGGCAAATACAATCTGCCCAAACCCAAACACTTTCCCAAATTGAAAACCAGCAGACTAAGCCTCAAGAGTCGTGAAGGGTTGCAATTACAAGCGGGGACAGCAAGACGTGGCCAATTTATTTCGGGAAGCGCCCGCCCCTCCGTCCCCGGTGGCCAGCCAGATTTCCAAACTTTCCCCTCATTCACTCCAAGTTCTCGGGATGTCAGGCAAAATGTATACCACACACGATACACTCTCCCTTGTTTTCCAAGACAACCCCACGGCCTGGGGTTTATTAAAAAGTCGTACTTTGGCAACATTCCCCCACCGACAGAACCCCACCCCCCATCATCAAAGTGGAGCCCCATGGTCAGCGCTGCTCAAGGGTCATCATGGACGCTCTACAGCCAAGCCCCCCAACAATGTGGCCAGGCCCGGGGTACTCAGGCTGACAAGCAGGCGCCTCCCCTCTCCCCCAGCTGCTGCTGCTGGGAACTAGAGAGGGGCTCCGAAAGGCGGGGCACCCCGTGAAGCCTGTGGCGCCAGCCCCCACTTACCCGGCGGGGCCTGTTGCATGTGCCCCAGAACAGCACGTGTGGAAGGAAGAAGCAGCGGAAGCGGCAGCCGGCTCAGGGCGGGGACAGCGTGGCCACGCTGGAGGTTGGCTTGCTGCGGCTGGGGGCGGAGGCGGCCCAGCTGGGGCGTGGGGTCCGCAGCCGGGGGCTTCTGGCTGCGTTGTCGGTAGTGCTGAGGGCCTGGGGGTCCTCCGGGCTGATTTTCTGTTATCTGCGGAGATCTGAACCAGGCAGCTTGGTCTCGTTTTGGGGGGCCGGTGGGGAGAATCGACATGCCCGGCGCTGGGCATAGGAGTCGGAGCAAAAACTACCCTTGTCTCCCTCCCCCACCTCCATTAGAACGTAAGCTCACTGCGAATAGGTATTTTTATACATACACGTGTCCACACATATATAGTCCAAATTTTATATATACGCCTGTGTTGTATTATATATAAAATTTATACACACGTACATATACACACACACAACACACACACCCCTGCACTTGTTTCCCTCCCCTACCTTGATGAGAATATAAGCTAACGGCAAGTAGGAAACATACATGCATGCATACATACATACATACATAATTCCTATTATATGTGTATATATAATTTCCCAAAAATTAAATTTATGCACACTGTATGTATGTGTGTATGTATACACACTTGCACCTCTCTTCCCCACCTCCATAAGAATGTAAGCTCACTTCGAGTAGAGATTGTTTCCTTCTTGGTATTTGTATGTGTATGCATGTATGTGTGTATATCTATCTACATGTAAGCAGCATAAATAGAAAGTGAATAAATACAAAAATATACAAATTTCAGTACAAAGGAGGGGAGGGGCAATTGGGAAAGGCTTCATGCCGAGGAGTGGATCTGAGCCGAATACAGCATTAAATTAGGAAGAGACTCTGAGGCTATAAGAAGTGTGGGCATTTAGAAAGAATAAGTGAGACTATACAACTTACAACAGGCTGTGTGCATCAGCAGAATGCCTTTGGCTTTGGGAAACTAAAGATTAGAAACTTAGACGAGACTAGAGAAGGGACTTTAAAGATGAGGTATTCTAATGCTTTCATTTTACAGATGAGGTAACTTGAACCAAATAACTTGCCCCAGGTCTTACAACTAGTTAAGTTTTCTATTTTATGCCCTTTTCTAAAGGATAGCTTGTGTAGGCACTTTGAAAACCACAAATTAACATTATCCATAGGTTTTATTGTGTATATAACACATAACTATTGTGTATATATGAATATAGGGCAGCTAGAGTGCTGAGCCTAGAGTCAGGCTCTTCCTTTCTTCTCTTCCTGAATTCAAATCTGGCCTCAGACACTTAGTATCTGTGTGATTCTGAGCAAGTCACTGAATTTTATTTATCTCAGTTTCCTCATCAGTAAAATGAACTGGAGAAGGAAATGGCAAATCACTTTACTATCTTTGCCAAGAAAACCCTAAATGGAGTCATGGAGAGTTGGATGTGACTGAAAAATGACAGCAACAAAATATACATAAACACACACACATACTTTTGGGATCCTATGAAATCGTGTTTCTTAGATATCTGGGAGAGGGGTTTTATGTAAAGGTGACAGCATATGTCATTAAACAAATATTCAGTAGATTTTTCCTATGTGCAAGATTTAAAGATGAAGAAGACATAAAGCTAATCACTAGGGATGCTTGGAAGTCATGTAAACAAAGAATAATCAAGAAGTTCCAAAGCTTTCCTCTCATCTCTAGGATGAATTGCAAAAATTTCTGTTTGGTACTTAAAAGCCCTTCACAATCTAGCTTCAGTCTTATTCTCCAGGTTTATAGTACATGGCTATCCTTCATGTACTCTGCTCTTAACATTCTGTATTACAGCCAAACTGAAATGTTTGCTGTTCCCCTTACAAGACATTCTATCTCTCTTCTTTGCAGGCAGATAAATGACACTCAATTGCCAAGCCTGGAGTCCAAAAAACCTAAGTTCAAATCTGGCCTTGGACATTTAATAGCTGTGTGACCCCAGGCAAGTCATTTAACCTCTCTGTACCTCAGTTTCTTCATCTGTAAGGAGAGGCTAATAATAGCGCCCGCCTCCTAGGATCAAATAAGAATGTTTGTAAGGTACCTTGCTAACCTTGAGGTGCTCTATGAATGTTAGGTATCCTTATGATTTTTGGACAGATAACCCTTCCCCACCCACCCAATTGAATATAAATTCATTGAGGGTAATGACCATTTTGTTTTTTGCCCCGAAGCCTAGTGTACTACCTGGCACATAGTAGGACATTAGTAAATGTTTGATGAATTAAATTGAAAACGTTAAAGGTAGAATTAATTATATTTCCCCCCAAATTATTCCTTCCTGCAAAATTTTCTATTTCTATCCAGGCACCACCATCCCTTCAGTAAACAGGTTTCCAATGTTAGTGTCATCCTTGACTTTTCCTTCTTCCTGACAATCCTTCCCCCACTCCCTGTTTTTTACTGAGTTCTTCATCCTATGGCCACAACATCTTTCCTATCTGTTCTATTTTCTCTTCCCATAAACCCTCAACCTAAGTTAGGGTCCTTATCTTCTCTCACCTGTCTAAGCTCCTTTCTGCTCTCCTGTTCTCTTCCCTCCACAATCTCCCCTCCACACAAATGCCAAATTGATCTATTTAAACCATATTAAACCATGTCACACTCCTACTCAAAATTTTTCAGTGGCTCCATTTTGCCTATGGGATAAAATACAAAACTCTTCCTCTAGCTTTTTTTTTTTAATCAGTGTTGAGGCCCTGGAGTATGCACTCTAGCCTCATGGGATAGATAGATATGTTCTTGAGCTCCTTATTGAAAGACTTGCACTTTGGGATGACAAGGAACATCCTGGGGAGCATACAAAGTGATAGGCTCATGTTTTGGACCCTTACTGAAGGGTCACACATTACTAGAAGCTCCAAGGTTGGTCTGAAGTACTCCCATCATTGGGGGTTATATTGAAGATGACTGGTAACTGAGCAGCAAGAGCCATGGACTCAGTTTAAAAGGAGAAACAACTTCTATTCTGTCTCTGTCTCTTTGTCTGCCTCTGTCTCTGTTTACCTCTGTTTCCTCTGTTACTCTGTCTCTGTCACTCTCTCCTTGCACTGTGGCTTGGAGCTTTGACAACTATTGCTTAGACTTATAAGGTGGGACTTAGATTTTTCAGCCTACTGAAAGATGGGCCATCCTATGAGATTGGCCACCACTAGAAGAAAACAGCTTGAGTGGAGTACACCATGATGACTGTCACAGATATTACACTCTGAGTTACTGTAGTAACCCTTTGCTGGATTTTGAGCTGTGCAATGGCAAGTTAACCCTGAGTCAGCTGTCTATGTAGAGTTAGACCACTGATTTATCAAAGCTAAGATCAGAATTAGGGAGAAAAAAAAGTATAAAGAAAAAATATGTATCTGTGGAGTAATTGGGGAAAATTTTTGAAAATAAATTATTTAAACAACTAATTGACAATCCCACATGAGAAATGGATAACATAAATGGCAATGACACCAATTGTAATATTTACGAAGTTAACCAATGTAAATTAATTGCCACAAAAAAAAAGACCCATAGAGCCCAGGAAAAAACCTTATGCAGCAAACATGCAATTTATTTGCCAAAAGAAGAGATGGCTGCCAAAGGTAATATCAGATTAGAATATAAACTTATTTGTTTGTGTGTGTATGTGTGTGTGCACACGTGCGCATGAAGAATGATGGAAAATTATGATAATAAACAGAGAAAAGTAGTGACAGGGAAGATCAGTTTAAAGATTGGTAAGATATTCAAGGAAGCAAGATCATCCCAAGGGCATTTAAGGATGAACATTGAAGGAAGACAAGTAGCAAAAGAGGAATAGAAAAGATTTATAAAAATCAATTTGATAAATGGTTTTCTCCATCAAGGACGATGATACTACCACTTCTGGACCCTAAAATCATAGTTCCCAAGGTGCTTATAAGGAGGAGAAATGGTACTAAAGAGAACAAAGAATTAATGTGGTTAGAGTGCTAGACCTGGAGTCAGGAAGACCTGAATTCAAATCTAGCACCAAACAGTTACTAGCTGTGTGACTTTGTCAAGTCTCTTACCACTTTGTCTACCTCAGTTTCCTCATCTGTAAAAAACCTCCCGGTGTTGTTGTGAAGATCAAATGAGTCAATATTTGCAAAGTGCTTAGCATAGCACTTGGCACATATAAACTATATAAACACAAATGCTAACTATTATTGTTGTTGTTATTATTATTATTGATGAGGTAATGGGATCTGGACCCCTAAAGACCCTGAATTTTCCCATATATTCCAGAAGCCTGGATCACTGGCCCACCCCAGGCTACTTGATCACCCAATTAGCTTACTTGAGATTCCTTTCACTGTTGCACCTGGCCCACCCCAGACTATTTATTTACCACTCCTTAATCCCAACCAGATCCTTTCTTTGTCTGTTTTGAATATAAGCATCAGTCTCACCCCCATTAAGTTGCAAATTCCCTATGAACACTGCTCACTTCTATTAGTGTTACAATAAAATTTGCCCGTTGACTGGAAAATGGTTTGAGTTTGTGAATTTATTCCAGGTAAACATTGCCCTGTCCCCTGACATTTCAGGGTTCCCAGCAATCCCAAACCCCATCAATTATTATTAGCTAGACTTGACCAAGTTTGTAAAGAGGAGATCCCTACTTGAGGCAATGCAATTGTGAAGGAGTTGAGGGAACAATATACAGTAAAACCTATTCAAGAAGAAGATACAAAAGGCTTCAACAAAATATTAGACCTCTCCTCCAGTCACCCCAAACTAGTTGGCCATTCCTCCCACAGTCTTTCTGTATATAAGATCCATCCTGTCTCCATTAAAGTGCTCAGATTCTTTTAAAATCTAATTTTAAAATTTTAGCCATTTTAAAATCTAGCCAATAGCTCAGTAATGCTCAGATTCTTAGGACCTAGCCAGTCTCAGATTCTTAAGATCCGACCCTCTTGCATTAGCAACACAAATGCTTAGATTCCTTAAGAGTTTACCCAATATGATGAATGTTCTAATAAACCTTGTCTTTGGCTGAAAGAAGATTTGGGTCAAATTCATTCAGGCAGGACCTGCCTGTTGTGATTTTGGGATCTCAGCACCCCTAAACCTCAGGACCCAGAAAGGCAGGGACAGCTCTATGCCCCTTGCCAGCAGGAAGCAGCAGTTTCTCCCTTTGCCCCAAAATAATTTGGGTCCCACTCATTTGAGCGGGGAATGGTCCTGAGCCAAGACCTTTGTCCCAGTTTGGGCCCCATTT